AAAGAAACGCCTTTTAGCTAGATATCTTTGCTTTACACTCTCTGGCATTTGTAATGTAAACTGGATTTCCATAGAACACTATGCAATCATGAAATGGCAAGAAGAATAAGCATACTCCTTGTTCCTCACCTCCATTTCAGATGGACTTCTTGCTACCATTACTCAACAACTATCTTGTCTTCCTTGGAGATTCACACCATTACTCTTTATTAGACAATCAACTATTAAGCATTTAAGTGCCCACTGTGTGCCAGGCACTGTGCTAAATATTAGGGATACCAAAATAAAAAAAAAAAGAAAGAAAAGGAAATGCTATCCTCAAGGAGCTTGCTTACAAAATTAATTAGTGAGATAACATGTAACAGCTGTTCTATGAACAAGCTACGTACTGGATAGTTAGGAAGTCATCAGCGAAGAAAGGCACACAAAATGAGAGGGATTGTGAAAGGCTTCCTATAAAAGGTGAGATTTTCTCTGGGTCTTGAAGATATTTAGGGAAACCAGAGAGTATAGATGAGGGGGAAAAACATTCCAGGCATGGAAGACAGTCGCTCAAAATGGCCAGAACCAAGAGATGGAGTATCTTGTTTAGGAAACAGAAAGGAAGTCAGTGTTGTTGGATCAGAGAGTATGTGAGGGCATGTAAGATATAAGAAGATTGGAAAGGTGGACAGAAGGGCCAGGTTTTGAAGGACCCTTGAATGCCAACCAGGCAATTTTATATTTGATACTGGAGGTCATAGTGAGCCACTAGAGTTGATGGGGTTGGGGAGGGAGAGAGATGACATAGTCCAACCTGTACTTTAGAAAAATCACTTTGGTAGCTTAATGAAGGATGGATTGGAGTAGGAAGAAACTTGAGGCAGGCAGATCAGCTAACAGGCTGTTGCAGTATTCTAGGCATGAGGAGACGATGGTCCATACCAGGGTAGTGGATATCAGAAGAGGGGGTAATATCAAAGGATAAAAGGAGGCATATTTCAAAGATGTTGCAAAGATGAAATTAATAGACTTTGGCAACAGATTGGATATGGACATTGGGAGATAGGAATTGAAAATGACATCTAGATTGCAAGCCTGGAAGTCTGAAAGGGTAGTGGTGCCTTTGACAATAATAGAGATGTATGGTAGGGGGAAAATAATGATTTTTGTTTCAAACATATTTAAGATGTTTACTGGACATCCAGTTTGAGATTTGTACAAGTTAGATGTGGTATACTGGAGGGCAGCAGAGACATTAGGGCTGATTTGAGAATCATCAGAATAGAGGTGATAATTGATTATCCGTAGGAGCTGATGAAATCACCATGTGAAATAGAGAGAGAAGAGGACCAAGCTGAGAGCCCTGTGGGACACCCATAGTTATTGGGCATGGCCTGGTGAGGAGCCTGAAGAAGTCTATACAGCAGTGGGAAGGGCCAGAGAGTGAAGACAAATGACTGATAATACAGTGAAATGGTTGAAAGACTGTAAGACCAAGGGAGAACATCTGAACAAAAAGTCTAGTTCACAAGCAGTATAAACCAACAACAAAGAGCTCTTAAAGGTTGGAAGAAAAGGGGTAAAAACTTACAGCAGAATACTATAAAGAAATATTATACCGCGAAGAAAAATGAACCAGAACTGTCAGATAGATGAAAGAGTTCTGGAGATTCCTCGGAGATCAAAAACCAACAGGGCAAAAATCCAGAAGGGTTCAAAAGAGGAATAAAAAATTCGAAGGAAAGTGTTAGGAATTAAGTTAGGTAGGAAAACAGAGCTCTAAATCTAAAATTTAAAAATACAAAGAGCATTGTTTTAAATTTAAAATAATGTGAAAGACATATTAGCATCAGTAAAAGAAGTAGAGAGTCTGAGAGAAGAAAGAACAGGATTGGAACATAAAATACAAAAGTTGTGGGAGATTTTACAATAGAGGAAAAAAGAACAGCTTTTAAAAAAAGACCACATGAATTCTATACAAACCAAAGCAATTGACTTGGAAGGTAGGGTACCCAGAGATACTTAAGGATATGGTACTGCAAAAATATATACAAGAAAATTGCCTAGAACTTTTAAATTCAAGAAACAATATGGCATAGTGGATAGGGCATTGAACTTGGAGTTAGGAACACATGCATTAAAATATTATCGCAGACACTAGCTATGTGACCCAAGGCAAGTTACTTAACCTTCTCTGTCTCAGTTTCCTCATCTATAAAAGCAAAGGATTAAACTAAATGGTTTAATAGGCCCTTTCTACTTACATATGTATGATCCTGCTAATACACAAAAGGAATTGATCCTGTGACTGTGCAGGTCACCACCAGATAAAAAAGTCCCACTTTTGAAACTACATGCAGCGATTAAATTTTACAATTTCAATGGTAAATAATAAATTTTTTGAAAAGCCAGGAAATAGATTTTCAACTGCAAAGATACTTTAATTTTTCATTTTTTTGTTTTTTACCAGTTATGAGAAATGGAAGAGAATGGAATAATATATTCTAAAAAGTATATGTATGTATATATACATAGCAATAGTAATAAATTCAAAAAGTTCCTTCAAAGCTTGGCTGTCAGTGAAAAAGATGGAACTTCAAGAGAGGAGAGGCAGGATTGAGAAAAGAAACAAGACAGGATGATCCACAAGATAGCATTGGAGAGTGGAAGCACAATAGTCCAGTTATCCTCATAGCTACTATGGTGAGGATTCAAAGAAAAGCACTAGATGAAGAAATGATCAAGGAGAAATCACAGCTTTTGCCAACTTCTCTTCACAAAGAGATATCCAGAAGTTTATGGAGATTGGAAAAGACCGACCCTAGGGCAATTTTCACTGAATCCTTCCATCTAAGGGACCAAGTAAGCCTAGAATTTGAAGCTGAGTGCCAGGGTTGGAAGGGAAACAAGATCTTAGAGCAGGCTCTATCCAAGGATAACCAAAACTGTTTCTCTGACTTGAGAGTTGGGTCAGAAGCCTGCAGCTCTTGGATTCAAAGACAGTTCTCAGGATGTACTCTGGATTAGACTACCCAGTGTCAATCACCAAGGTACAGTAGTCTGTCCAGATGCTTCGGAGGTTCTTGAAGAACACAGTGCTCATTAACCAGATAATACAGAACAGTAACAAAAAACACCCTATTGTTATTTCCAGAAATGAACAGTACCTGGCCCCAACATGAAGTTCCAATTCATGAAAAAAGCCTGGAAAAATGAATAAATGGAAAAAAATTATAAAGAAATACCATGCAGCCAGTGATGTGCAGGACACAAACTCAGAAGACATTAATATCATCCACATCATCTATAAGCAGAGTCTCAAAGAAAATTACAGTTTCTCATAAGCTTTACTGGAATTCCTGGAAGAAAAGAAGAACCTAGTATAGGTGTGTTTGTGAATTGGATAATTCAGAATAGAGCAGAAGAAAAGGAAAATAAAGAGAAGGGCAAATTAAAGGAAAACAACATCTTGAAAGGAAGTGTCAGCACACCCCATACACACCCCTTTCCCCTGCACAAAAAAAAAAAAAAATTAAAGTAAGAGATTTGAACAAGGGAAATCCAGGGAAGGAAGATTTTGAACTGCAACCTTACCTTAGCTAATCAGGGGGAGAAAGAAGGGTAAAAAAGAGAGTTAGACCCAGATAAATAAAAAAGATAAAAAAGTATACAGTTGGGGAGAATTTGTGCGAATAGATTAGCTTGAGTGATTGGTATAAGCAAAACTAATCGTAGTGAGAAAAGTACTGACTTAAAAGAGAAAAGGAGACATACAGCAACACACAAAATAAATGGAGGAAAAGACATTCTTAACAAATGATAAACGTAAATGTGGATGGATTAAAACAATCCAGTCAAGTGAAAGAGAGTAGCAGAATGTATAAGAAGAAAACCCATCGAGGTTATTTATACAAAAGAGTCCAGTCTAAAAAGTAAAGATACACAAAGGGAAAAGAAAAACATATATACTTTTGAAGATGTGAACAGAATTCCAGTGAGAAAAGGGGAGAGGGATATCTAACAGAGCTGATGTATAGGGAATTTAGGAACCACTATGTTAATCAGAAATGAACAAAATACCATAGATGTGGCCTCAATTGGGCAAAGTGTAGTAAGACTATAGCCTTCTTATTCCTAGAATAAGGATTCCTGCACCTTTTTGGTTTTTAATTATATTTTTTTCAATGAATAAACATTTATTTTTTCTCCCTCTCAGTTCCCTTCCCTCCTCCCCATTGAGAAAGAAGGAAAAACAAAACTCTCATACCAAATACATATAGTCAATCAAAATAAATTCCTACATTGGCCACATCCAGAAATTTCTCTTATTCTGCTCCTTGTGTCCATAACCTCTTTGTTGTTCTTGCCCATTGGTCCTCTGGAATCATGGTTGGTTTTTGCATTGATCAGAGTTCTTCAGTTTTTCAAAGCTGTTCATTTTGACAGCGCTTTCTTAATGTAGCCAAAGATCATGGTAGCTTTCTGAGCTACCGTTCAAGTGTTGATTCATATTGAGCTTTCAGTGCAGATCTTTTTAGATAAACTGTCTAACTGTTCCTTTCCCCTCTTGCACTTGTGAATTGCTTTTTCAATCCAAATGTAGGCCTTTATGTTTCTCCTTATTCAGTTTCATCTCATTCAGTTGTAGCAGAGGAAGAAGGATATAATGACTATTCAAAAATACGTGTACTAACGATCTAATAAAATTCTGTTATGTAGATATGCTATGATTTTATTCAGCTATTCCTCAGTTTTTTGACATATAAGTTGTTAGTAGGTTTCTATCTGCCCTTTTAGTTTTGCCTATATGTAAATATTTCTTTGAAAAGATTTTGTGTGTGTGTGTGTGTGTGTGTGTGTGTGTGTGTGTGTTCAGTTATAGTAAGCATGACTATATTTTAGCCTGTAATGTAAAAAAGCATACTTTTTGATAGTGGCTGGAAACTGGTGTTGGGAGTGATTGTTATGTGGTTTTTGGCTTTAGCAAATATATCTAATGTGGTATCTTTTGTCCACAGGGTCACGTAGGGACCACTGCAACCAAAAAAATTGATGTCTACCTCCCACTGCACACAAGCCAAGACAGACTGCTACCAATGACAGTTGTGACCATAGCACATGCCAAGGTGCATGACCTAATCGGCCTAATCTGCTGGCAGTATACAAGTGAAGGACGAGAACCCAAGCTCAAGTAATTTACTTTCTTTTCTTCTCCCCTTTGCTATCCAGCTTTCTTCTGATCAGTCTCTGAATAGCCAGAGAAGTATTTTTAAACACATGCAACTTACTAATTATGCAAGTCAGTTATCCTCTCTAAGGTTCAGTTTTCTTCTCTATAAGATGAAGAGAATAATAATACTGGCATACCTTCTAGAGTGACCATGAGGAAAGTGCTTTGTAAACCTTAAAATACCGTAGAAACAGGTTGCTGTCATTATTCTATATTGCAAATCAGCTTTGTCGTAAGGTCTCTTTAAGATTTCATTAAATAAGAAAATTTATATAAAATATATGGTGGATTGTAAAAGACTGTACATAAATAGATATGAGCTTTATTTTTATTTCAGCAAACATTTATGATATGTTTTCTGTGTGTAAAATTCAGATATTTAAGTATTATCATAGCATTTAGGGAAACTTTACAGTCTAGGAGAGAAGATAAGACATAGATATCAATAACTTTTTCCTAGGCCTTCTAGCTGCTGCTTTCTCTGTAGTGAATTTTTCTTCAGTTTCCTTATGTGACTGTTTTCTTGGGGTGCAGGTATCCTAAGATGAGATGAGGAAGCAGTATGGTACTGGAAGGAGTCCTGGATTTGGACTTAGAGGACCATTTGTTGAATTCTAGCTAAGTTGTCACTTAGTACTTGAATGATTTTAGGGATATTACTTAACTTCTCTGGCCCTCAGTTTCCTCATTTGCAAAATGAGAAACTTGGACTAGATAATCTCTGTGTTCTTCCAGTTCTGTGGACTTTGGCATAAAATAGAACAAAATCACTGAATAAAATAGGGGGAAAAACCTCAAAGTACTGTGGGACAGGGGGTAAGGGAGAGAAAGGAGGCAGCAGCATGGTACTAATAGATAGAGGGTATCCTTAAATCCTTGATTTAAGGATATCTGTAAGAAGTTTTGTGAGTGCTGTGAGAAATATATTGTATAAACGTTAAACTACTGTAAAAGTGTAAATTGGGGGGTGAGGATTGGAAGAGAGAAGGGAGCTAGTATTTGTTAAGCACCTGCTAGGTGTGAGGCTCTGTGCTGAGCACTTTACAGATGTTTCAGTTGATCCTCACAGCTACCCTGGGAAGTAGGTGCTATTATTATCCCTTGTTTGAATTTGAGGAAATTGAGTCAGATGGAGGGTAAGTGCACAATTAGGTCACACAATTAGGAGCTGTTGGAGGCTGGGTTTCAATTCAGAACTTCCTGACTCTAGATCTACTCTGCCTAGCTGTATGTTTTGGTGATTGTCATTATAGTTTTTGCTGTTGTTGTTCTCATTATCTGAAGAGGATTATAAATGAAGAGTTGGAAGGGACCTCAGAAGCCATTTCAATCTCTGTGTTTTGCAGATGAAGAGCTAAAACCCTTGACCTGGTACTTTTAAAATGGGTAGAATCTCTATAGACAGAGATGGAGGGGATGGATGGATGTACTGAGGAAGGGACAGACGGGTGGGGAGGCATTCCAGATGTCAAGAGTGGGAGCAAACTAGTGAAGGTTACAAAGAGGAGCCGGGTGTACGATGTTAGGTAGACAGTAGTGATCATTTGTCAAGAGTCTAGACAAAGCAAACATATGTAATACATGTAAAGCTTTTTTCTTTGATCTGTGGTGTTGGTATTCTGTTCATCCAGGAATGGACAAAGGGAGTTTAGTTCTTAATATCATAGTGCTAAAGCTGAACAGGGCCTTAGAGATGATCTGTTCCATGCCCCACTCCAGTCCCTCCCCTCCCCTCTTCTCTTTTTTCAAAAGAGGTAAGTAAACTAAAGCCTGGAGAGGAGAAACTATTTGCCTGAAGTTATAAAGATTTTGACATTAAACCCAGTGTTTTTTCTAGTACATTATATAGATATTCCAAAAGATACTTGAATTCATCTTTTTGGGTACTCCCTCTGTTGACACAGTTAATGCCACCACCATGCTTTCTCATCCTGTGTAATTCTTTCATGTTGTATCTTTAAACCTCTATAGAAGCTAGTTAAAAAAATGCTTAGGACCTTTTAGTTATTTTAATACCTTAGGACTACTAGTGTTTATTTTGTCTCTCATTTTTGCTACATTGTACTTCCTGGTTCAAAGGAAAGAGATGTTATAGTCAGAATGGACCTTAGAAATACTTGAATTCAACCTGCTTATTTTATTATGATAGTTATTGTCTATACTTTTTGTTTTTACATTCCAGTCATTTCCAGATGTACCCTGCCACATTCTTGAGCACTGCTGAAGTAAAGCAAAATCAACTCAAATGTTCTTATCTCATAGTGTATCCAGCATTTTGCACCCTGCTTCCCCTACTTCCAACTGAAAAGAGCAAATCATTGGTTTTTGTGGAAGTGAAAATTCAGGCTCAACTAGGTAAAGTGACTTGCCTGAGGTTAGACATGTGATAAATAGCAGAACTCAGTTTGAACCCATCTCCTGACTCTGGTGCACTTTCCACTTCTCATGCTGCCGCCTTTAATGCTCCTTACATAGTTACTGTTTACATGAACTCCTTATATAAAGTTTCCCTTATAATTTTCATAACTTGCCTCACTTTACCTCATAGTGAAATGTTGCCAACTTGTATAGGACTCTTAATTTTTGAGGCACACTTATATTTTCAAGTGTCCAAGAATAAGGCCCAAATTATATAAAACAGGTTTTGATGTTAAAACACCTACTTAATGACAGACTATTTCAGGAATTTGGCAGTAGCATTTTCTTGGATGTCCTTTAACGGTCTTTAGCTTTTGTTGCTTAGTGACACTGGCCTTTATGCAGAGAGCCCTCTAATTTTATCTCATCTGACCCATTTCTTTTGGATATTATAGTCCCACATGGTTTATAGTATAGGTAAAAATGTCACTAAAGAGAAGAAAGATATGAAATGAAACTAAATTCAACCAAGTATGTAGAGAGGTGATTTGGGCTAGAGATGATATAGTTGGGAGGGTGTTAAGGGACCAATATACAACGTATCCAAAGGAAGAAAAATACCAAAGGGATGGAAAAAAATCTTGGACCTTATTAATTATTTTCATAAAGCAACCAACAGAATATCAATAATTACTGACCTATATTTATACTTCATATCTTTACAAATACTTTATGAGCATCTTTGAAATGGGTTATTAGTAGGAAACAACTAGACCTTTGTAAGTGATATCCAGCAATGGACCATATTTTTACCATTTCACAATTAATTGAAAGATATAGGGAATATAAGACCTTATGTTTATTGTTTGTTAACTAGGGAAAAAAGCCCATTTGACTTGGTAGAAAAAATTGCTGCTTTATAGGCTGTTTTACAACAAGGTGTCTCCCAACTGTACATCAAAATAAATTAAGATTCTTTGGAAAATATACTAACAGAAATAGGCCTTTGCAGTGACCTGAAAATAGACATCAGATGAGACATAAAACAAAGATGTAATGCCTGCCAAACATATTCACCATAAGTACGAGTAAGATCCAGTAAGGAATTCAGTTCAAAGATAGATTCTCCTCACATAGTGAGGAGATACACCTGTTTGTGGGTGACATTGGGCTGAGGAGAGACCCATGATTACTCAAAAGAAGTTTGGCGTGTCCTTCCAAACACATAAGTGCAAGTAGAGAAAGAATGTCTGCTCCTAGTAGATTTCAATATGCATTTGGATTGTCGCTATATAGAACTTGTCCAATAATATGTATATCTGGGACATATAGTACAACCATGTAACAGATTGAATCCAGCATTTAACAAGAGGCAGACAGAGGATTTATAGCTTTTGGGACATTGCAAAAGCTCTTGTACTTTTTCTTCCAAGTTTCCACAAAAGCAAAGGTCCACCTTTTCAATATTAACATTCTGTTGGTATTGTTTTAAAACAGTAAGACATAGAAGATAACTGCCTTTGAAGAAAGAAAAATGAGCATCACATGTGTAGCAGTGGAAAGGTGCATGATGGATGTGAGCAAGCTAAACATATAACCCAAGAGGAACTCTAAAGAACAGGAGTAAAACATATTAAGGAATTGTATAATAGGAAGATGAGATTGGTTGACCATGAGGCAAGAGGAAGGAATGGCAGAGTCAGTGGGTACCTTTACAGTGTCAGGATAAATTGAGGAAGGCCTCTGGCTTGTTAGGTGGATTCTCTGTAGTGAACTTTAAAAGGATTGGACAGAATTTTATAGGTTCAGCAAATGTGATTACATTTGTGATCTGAGTCATTGGAAATAATTGCTGAAATGATGTTTTCACAAATTTATTTGCATAGCCAACCCATCCCATCCATCCACCTGTAATTCTTTCTTTACCTCCATGCATTTTTTCCCCTTGTATAGAGTGAATTCACTGGGACATAGGAACCTCCTCTCATTCAGTCTGAAGATCTGTTTTTGAGTACTGGCCCTAATACTTAATCATTTGGCTTAGAGAATATAATTTTCCTTTTGTAAGTCACATTTTATTCCTCTGGAAAATAGTAATAACAATGCTTCTGCTATTTATTTACTTCCCAGGGTTGTATTAAGAAGAATGCTATAAAAATGGGAACTATTAAAGTTCTGCTTTGATGCCTCATCCCAGGCATGAGCCTTCCTGAGTTCTTTACTTATCTCCACAGAATGAGCCTTTTGGTAGGTCCTGCTGGACTGGAAGAATTTGAAGTGCCAACCTAGAGAGGGAGTGCGTAGTGGTTAGAGAAGCTGGTGTTGCACTGAGTGAGGAGACCTCTTCCCCAGAGCAAGGATTTTTAGGGGATTGATTTTTCAGGCCAAGCAGCCAGAACAATGCCCTCCTAGGTGTGAGGTGTGTTTGATCTGCATCAGGGGAGGGAGCTCCCCTGCTGATGAAATCATGGATCTTTGAAGTACTATATTTATTGTATGCCTCATGCTTCTGTCCCTGTATCCTTTCTTAACTTACACACATTTATTTAAGTACCATCAACTCTTTTCTCCCAGTAAGTTATCACCAATGAATCATGCTTTTT